GTTTTGAATAACTTTTCCCAACATTCAGAGCAAAAAATCAATTTTGAAAAGTCAAAAATCTTCTTCTCTAAAAATTGCAGCTCCTTCGATAAAGATTTTGTAACTACTTCTTTCAACATCAAAGAAGGAACATCTTTTGGTAAATACTTGGAATTTCCTATGTTCCAAGCAAGACCCAAAAATGCAGACTTCCAATTCCTCATTGTCAATTTCAAAAATAAACTCGCATGATGGAAATCTAAGTTTTTAACTTTGGCAGGAAGAGCCACTTTAATAAAATCTACTCTAAACCAGTTATCGAACCATATTATGCAGTGCATTCATATTTCGACTCACATAGTTAATAAAATGGAATAATATCAATGGAATTTTTTATGGGGTACAACTTTAGAAAAAAAAAAAAGAAACTACACCTTGTTAGATGGAATGAAATAACTATTCCAAAAGAAGTAGGAGGATTAGGAATTGAAAAATTACGTCAAAAGAACCATGCTTTACTAGCAAGTCTAGCTTGGAGGATATTTAAGTTACCACAAGCAATGTGGGCTAACATCCTTCTTAACAAATATCTTAATACATCAACCAAATATTTTCACTCATAAATTTGGACTAATATTATCAATGGTTGGCATCACTGTCAACTAGGAATAAAATGGAATATAGGAAAAGGCACACATATTAAGTTTTGGGAAGATCCATGGATAGGGCCTGTCACAACGATTAGATCACAAATTCAGGGTCCACTACTGTTACACCATCAGAATATCACTATATCCTTTTTAATAAATAATACGGGATGGGATTGGGGTAAATTCCCACTTGAGTTACCCACTAATATTACTCATACAATTCAAGCTACTTATCTTTCCAAATATAGTAATAAGGTAGATAATATTTTCTGGGGTTTAACTCCAACGGGTCACTTCACAACTAGATCCATGTATAGAGTTCGGGAAGCACAGCTAGCTGAATCTACTAATAGTTATACAAAATATAATTGGATATGGAAGCTTCCTGTTCAACCCAAAATCAAAGGGTTCATTTGGCTTCTACATAGGAAACAACTACCTACCTACCAAGGTCTTCCTTGGCATATTAATTTAATTCAGGATGCTACTTATCAATTTTTCCACCAAGAGGATGAAACTATTAAACATTTATTCCTTGATTGCACAAACGCTAAAACATATTGGTAGGAATTGGGTATTCTTCATTTTATTAACTAAAAAATACCCTACACAAACGCATGCAATTGGGTACATGACCTCATAACTTGTTAGGCTCTTCAATTTCCTTATCACATGAATCCAGCTACATACTTGCCTCTAAGCTTATGGAATATATGGCTAGCACGTAATAATAACCGTTTTTATAAGCATGCTATGAACACGACTTCAGTTAAAATAACAACTCAGCAATGGGCAGAATACACCTACCTAGTAGCTAATAAGCATACTTGTGTTTAAAAAAAAGACAACAAAATCTAAAATGGAAACCTCCAAAAGAAAATTTTTATAAACTAAATACTGATAGAGCACATACAGCAACCAAGGCTGGCATTGGTGGACTAATTCGAAATTCAAAAGCTAAATGAATGTTGGGCTTTATAGCGGCAGTCCCAAGAGATTCATCAACTTCAGCAGAATTGCATGCTTTGTTACAGGGACTTCAGATGGCTTACACACACAACCTCATTCCACTGGAGGTAGAAGTGGATTCACAAGACATTATCACACTACTCTTCTCTAACAATATCTCATTTGATAATTTGTTAACTGACTGCAGGTACTTCCTGGACAGGTTAGGTAAGCCAGTAGTACAACATGCGTACAGAGAGCAGAATAGGGTTACGGATAAACTAGCAAAGGTAGGCTGCAATTTTGACCTTAACTCAGCGGTGCGTATTTTGGAAGACAATCCAGATTTTGCATGGTCAGGTTTTGAGCAAGAAAGGAGTGCAGTGCAAGGATATGTTTTGGAGGACTTCATCACTAACTCAAATAACTCTGATGCTATAAATGGCTATTGTAATAGTAATGCAGTAGATAGTAGTATTAATATCAGCTTGTATAATAGTTTGGTACCCACTACTAGTACATTATCATGTAACAGGATGCAACATAAGCATCCGCCCTCTGTACGCAACACTTAATCTTAATATATGTTTATCTTCTAAACCAAAAAAAAAAAAAGCACCTCAATAGCTTATAACGATACACATTGCTTGAATATTTGAACAGCTTTGCCCGATGCAAAAACTTTTTTGTACCGTGCAACGGTGTCATAATACAAGGGACACTTATGCAAACAGGTCGCTCAAGAATTGCGGAAACAATATCCATATGCAACCATTGTTTGTAGGAAATTTTACCTTAGCAAAGGTATACACTCTATTTATTATAAACCAAAATTATTTTAAAATATTATTTTCTATAGTTACCTTTTATATTTTATAGCGAAATAGGTATTTATAGTATATACTACCATTGAGGCGTGAAATACGCTATATATTTTTTTCCTCTCTTTCTTTTAATTAACACACGATTCTCTCTTTCTTTCTCTTCCTGCTCTCTCTTCGAGCAAAATACATGTTTGTAATCGTGAATTCTCTGGCCGAATCCTCTAGGGTTACTGCAATTGAAAATATTTCTAAGTTGTTGGGTGAAAGAGGGGAAAGACAGACCTTTTCTTCAAAATCAGATTCCTCCATAGCAAGGAGGGGCTCGTCGCTATGAGGCTAAGGCCACTGCGCGGGGAGCAAAAACGATGTCGGAATAATCCGAGTAGAGCATGGGTATTGTAACATGAACAACGGATACTGCAATATTTTCTACGCCGTAGAAGATTTGAGGGCCTAGGTTTTTGTTCGTCTCCATTTTTAGTTTTAATACAATGTATAGAGTATTTTGCCTGGCCAAAAAATGCCATCGCCGACGAACTTTCTTCTCTTTGCTAGTTAGTCACATACAACGATACAAATACATTGTATTATGTACAAATTCACTCAAACACATTGTATTTTTGTATAAATACATTTTTTGCCAGTATGTATATATTTCGAAGGTCTGAATTTTTTTAATACAACTGAATACACCTGTATTCATGCATACTGTACATATAGTATGCATGAATACAAGATATAAATATTGAAATACACTTAATACAAACATTGAAATAGAACAGAATATAAACAGTGAATACATTTAATTTTAAAATACAGTGAAATACAATAAAATACACTTAATACAAATAGAAATACAGTGAATACAAGGAATAACTAAAATACTGTTAATACAAATATATTTGAGTACACTGAATACAAAATAGTAATACAGTAAATACAAACATTGAATCTAATGAATGCAACAGTAAAAAACAAATATTGAAACATATTAAATACAACATTTATATACAACTGAAAAAATCATTCTAATTAATTGGTTTGATAATGAGGCGTGTTAGAATTGATTTTGTTGAGTTATATTAGGAGTGTATCACGCTAATTGATCCTATTTCCGTTATTAGATGGCTGAACAGACCTATTTTTAAGGTGAATGTCGCTATTATATTCATGAATACATGGCGCAAATACATGTGAATACAGTCACGTACAGTTGTAACCCCCTGTTTTTTAGACGACTTTTGCTATTGTATTCATGAATACAGTAGCACGAATACAGCGAATACACTAACATAACAACTGAATAGTAGCTATAGGAAGTAATTATGTATATGGAAGCTATATGATGTTAATTGCCACTAAACAATAGTGGTTTCTGAAAATTCCTCTTGTTTGTAACTCCAGACTATTATAGTGCCTATCTATCGCTTTTGTTTAATGCTACCTCATATATTGCTAGGGGTATATATGAATCGGGTTGGTTCGGATTTTATCAAAATCAAACCAAACCAACTATATCGGTTTGGATTGGTTAAGTTTTGTTGGGGTTTTCGGATTTTTTTTACATGAATATTATTTCAATCTTACTTTAATAAAGTTATCGATAAAGTTTTGATTAGTGAATATATTTTACTAAATTTTTAAAAAAATAACAAACATATGATCTATTAAAATATTCTTACGGGAGAATTTTTTTAGTAACACATGATGTTTATTTTCTTAGCCGTCTAACAATAATTTTTCGTTGATGTACGCTTTCAAGGTCAATCGAATTTAATAATTAAACATAAAAATCAATATGATACCTAAATAATGATATGTTCTATGTAATTTTAAATTATCGAAATACCATATTCGAAAAAGATGTAGGAAATCTTGACATATGAAAATTAAAAAATAAAGAGATGATTGATACATCAATAACACTTAATAAGAAAGTAATACAATCTATTATTTAAAATAAATAAAAACGAATGCACTTCATAGTTCTATTCAATATTATGTTCCATGAAGGATTCCAAATATTTCTAAATATTTTTTAATCAAAATTCCATATAAAGTATATATAAAAAGTTATATATTTATATGTCAGTTTGGTTCGAATTTTTTTACTCAACACCAAACCTAGTCGGATTTTTAAGTCTATTTGGTTTGACTTCTCAATTTGATACGACGGTTCGAACACCCCAATATATTGCCAAAGCATCATTGCAAGCTTTAGGCAGTTTTATTTTTCCCTGCCTCTTTTATTTCTTCCCCATGGAACATAATTAGCCGAACTCTCTTGTTTTCCTTCTTTGATCGCATTATTCCTTCGTTTGAGTTTCCTTTGGATTTAGTCAAAAACTATATAAGTAAGCCTATAACACGAGAATATCTAAATTTTTTGTCGCCCTTATTACATGCAACTGTACATACTCAATAGCACCAACTTTTCATGCTATGGATGTAAAAGCAGGTATAATTACAAGTTGTGGAGTAGTACCCAAATAAGTAATTAAGCTCTTATGATACCAGATCCCTCCACATTGATGCTGGGTATTTCGCATCAATGCAACCCAACTAAATAGTAACAGAAACAATATAAGAAAACAAAAACTGGTACAAACAAACTCCTTAGAACTCAAGGAAATAGTGGTAAGAGCCTATAGAACAAGGCTTGCTCAAGTAAGGTCATAAACTCGCAAGTAGTACAACACTCTAGCAGTTTTATGGTAGGAATATATTCTCATTTCAGGCAAGATTCAACATGTGACAAAATGGAAAAGAGATTAACTAAGTGAGTATACACTATACATATCTATCTGTACAGAATGGCAGGCAAAGTAAGAGAATTGAGGCAAGACCGTCTCAAACTTGCCAAAGCATACTTTGAAGATGTCGAAAACCCACAAAAGGAGAGCAAGATCTTTAAAAATCCAAAATCTTCCACAATGAGCTGACTACAAGTCTGGTTCATCACTTGGTAGCTGTCAATTAGCAGCAAAATCTGCAGCAGCCATGTCCCTAACATGCCGAAAACGCCTTCGTCGAAGGTAAAGTCCAACCAGATAAAACACTGACGAAAGTGCAATGGCAGAATAATCAAAGACATCAATGACATTTTGACGGCCTGCAGTAAGATGGCAATAAACTTACGTTAAACGAAATAATATAACTGGAAAAGGCAAACGCATCTTGAGTTGTTCGCCAATAAAAATACCCATTAGCACCCTGAGATGCAGGGCAGGATGGAGAAAGAAAAGCTCAGCCTAGCCAAGCTCACATAGCAAATAAATAAAGGACAAAGGTGTATTAGTAAGACACAAGAAGATGCATATTCTCAGCTTGTCTTCACATGCCCATCAGTAGCACTTCTCCCAGTAGTGCCACAGAGATTCATAGTTTATATTTGCACTAAAAGACCAGACTACATCAAATTGCTTAAGTCTATCATTCTTCTAATTCTACATCCATCAAGTTCAACAAGCAGATGTGAGTACCTATTCTGAGAAAATCAAAGGGGCTGAGTGTGTAGAGGAGTCCCAGGAACATCTGCAAGAAATTATCTGCTTCAGCGGATAAGTTCAAGAAATGAGGTCACTACAAATAACATGTCATAAGATAAATATAGTAGATCTGAAAAGAAACCTATAACAACCATTAAGGCCAGAAGATAATAAGGCTTCAGTGTTCACTTCTGAAATGTTGAGGAAATAAATTGAGACTGTAGAGCTATAAAATGTAAATACTACAGGTAGCTGACTGAAGTAGATTGCATTATGCATAGGAGTCAACGCATTTAGCTGTCAAATGAACTTACAGCAAAAATTCGCAATTTGTTCAAATGAGCACCAGGCCTATCAGGATTCAACATTTCATTAAACACTCTCTTCATGTAAAAGGGCAGCCCAAGCACCTTCTGCAGAAAATAGAAAGAGAAGGATTAAAAAATAAAAGAAAACATGGTGTTCTGCTATTACTTAATGGTAAACCAGTAATCATGTCCGCAGAAAGTGCAGCATTAGAAACCACGAGAAATTGTGGCTCTCTGCTATTATTGAATGATCACCAGTACGAAGGCAGCACAAAATCAGATCAATTCAACTAATATGACAAACATTGACTAATTCGCGTAATCTCTTGCTGGATTTGGGGAAATCACACACTAATGACCTTTTCTTTCCAAGCACATGATCTTGAACTTGAAATTAATGGATTCGGCAAGAAGATATTCTGTTTTCAGCTTGACACTACAAAGGACAATGCACAAATAGATACCAATCCAAACTTGCAAGTGTAACATAGAGAGATAACGTCCAGAAAGATAGTCCAATCGGCACTTTGAAATATAAGGATAATTCCATCTATGCAATCTAACATATGATAGAGTAACATACGAGTCCAACGCACCAGCATGAGGCCATATGTGCCACCCACAAAAAGGTGATTATACTTTCTAACTTTTTTTAAGACCTCAATGACTTCAGCATCCTGCTGGCAGTACAATGATTCCTCAGGTGTCAAATCAGTAATCTTCCTCGAACACATGGGGCAGTTACAAGGCTGAAGTGCAGCACCATAGTTCCAGTACTGCAAAATGCAACCTCCTACACATGGAGAAACCAATTGTAAAGAATATGTTAAAAAAGAAGTATAGCGAAAAACTTGACCGAAATAACTTCAAGACAAGCAACTGTGGTGGTAGACTGGTAAAGAAGTGGATTTTCACATTATCAACAAATAAGCAGTCAAGAGTACAGTTACTTTTTCTCTAACCTACATCCAAACAACTAATCCCGATCACACAAGGGTACAGCACAGGCTTGACACATCACGCAAGAGGGTAGGAAGCCAAGGTTAGTTAAGTTATAAGATTACAGATCCCAACAATGCCCAAGAAGATTCAAATATCATCCTAATCAATAATTGCTGACTACACTTGCATCAGGTTATCATTTCCTTCTCCCACCTTAAATAATGACAGAAGAAACGATTCCTGAAATACCCTAATATAATTCAGATTTGAACAAATAACAGAAAAACGTAGAATATAACAACAACATCAACAACAACAACAACAACAACAACAACAATAACAACAAAAAATCCAGTATATTCCCACAAGTGGAGCCTGGGGGAGAGTAGTGTGTACACAGACCTTACCCCTACCTAGTGAAGGTAGAGAGGCAACAGAAAAAACGTAGAATGATTTGCGGAAAATAATCTAACATGAGCCACACATCTTTAAAGCCTCCTAATGAACCTAAAAATAATAGGATTAATGTGGTTTCCAACTATATATAGTTTTGTTTTTAAGTAGTAAGGAATGTATTATAGAGAAAACAGCATTAAGCTAATGCTGCAAAACATAGTTACAACTTGTGCAATTCCTCGATTGTATCTAACATCGAATTTAGGTCCTTCACAAGAGCTAGGTTGAGCTAAATATAATCTTATGTGATGTTTTTACATTCTCAACCATCAATTTCCTACGCGAGTTGCTAAATAAAAATTTAGAGTGAAGCGACCACTAGCACCACCCAGTAATTAAGAAATTTCAGAAAATAGGGAAGAACATCCGTCTGCTCCATATAACCCTAATTCATTCCCAATAGAACTGCACAAAATCGATTTCATGGAAAACAAATCATATCCTTGAGAGATATTGTAATAAAACAATCACAGTAAACCGGTAAATGAACCAAAGAGTTTTCAGACTAGCTAAATTTTATTACCACAGTACCAGTGGCCACAGGGACCTCGGCAAGGAACCACAAAATTGCTAAAGCAGATAGGACAACAATCGTCAGTCGGAGGTTTTCCCGTCCTCATAAACGCATTCTCAGCCTCAACAACCACAACGCTATTCGAAGACGCACCATCCGACTCCCCACGGTTCTCGTCCTCAATTGTCCGTCCATGGTTGCCGTCCTGCTCATCCTCAATCTCCTCCGCCACTGAAAACGACACCGTAGTGTCTACCGAATCCTCACTCTCCGGCGATTCGTATCCAATTTCTTCCTCCTCCTCGTCCTCATCGGAGTTCATCATAGCGGAGGAAGAGGCCTCCGCCGCTTCCCCCTCTTGTATGTCGCCGGATTCAGGAGCTAATTCAGAAAGCGAAGAAGGAGCAATTGTGAGGTTGAGGTCAGGGTTAGGGTTTTGGTGACGACGACGATTTCGTAGACGAAGACGATTCAGGAAGAACTTCATGCTTTCTTCGTGATAGCTGAAAATAATGGAAAATGGAAATGGAAGCATTTTAGTTTTGAATTTTTGTTTTTATATGCGGAAATGACGATGACGTGCCTGAAAGTTTATCCAAAAATCAGCTCGCTCGTTTACCTCACTAGTTATTTCGGGGTAGCAAAAAATTACTAAGGGATGAATTTTAATAGAAAAATTATTAATATAAGAATTGTAAGAAACGTTAATTTATTAATCATGAATGGTTATAAATATATATTATATTATGGATGTTCATTTAATGCTCTGTTGTAGACTCCGTCGTAAATATGTTTATCTATTTGGTACTTTATTGGAAATAAGCCTCCTGAAGAAACTTATCATTTTGGTACTTCGTTATGTATAAATATTACCCCCGATGGAAAATTATTTAAATCTGGTACAGTAACAGCTTACAAGCAACATACAAGCAGCTTACACATAGGGATGACAATTAGGGCGGGGCGAGGCAGGGCAGGGTAAACTCTAAATGGGGCAGGGCAGGGAAAGATTTAAATGGGGCGGGGCAGGGCTAAATTTTTTTTTTTGATAAATTAGTGGGTTAGGGCAGGGCAGGGCAAACTTTAATTTGGAAAATATGTGGAATATGTGGCAGTCTTCTTCTGTCCCATAGAGAAGATGCCACAGTCCTCTTTATTTTTTTAGCTTTGTCCAATTTTTTGAAAAACTGTCGTGTTTACAGAAGACTTGCGAAGCAATTGCTAGCAATCTTTTGTAGAAGATTGAGATTCTCCACCAAAACTAGGAATTTTAGGTATCCAAATGGCGATAATTTTATTTGTGTTTTGTAAAAAAAAACTACAACTTTTGTTGAGTTAAAATTATGAAAGAATTGTAAACCCTCAACTAATTATGTGACCAAAAAACTCAGCTATTTAATTATATAAAAGAGAAAATATTAAAGAAGTCAATTGTTTCAGGCGTGCATTTCGTATAAAATATAAGTTTTCAAGAGGTTCAACATGTATAATATCACTATTGCTCATAGCGTTAGCTTTAAGTTATTTTTTTAAGTTGAAAGAGAAATATTATATGAAGTATTAACAGCTATCTTTGTTATCCTCAATAAAGCATTAAAGTATACAATATGGAGATAGAATTTCAATATTCCCCTCCAGATAAATATCTATTTTTTTTTACAATAATTTTTCAAAATTGACAAATAGTCACACGACTGGAGTTTAATCAATTTTGACAACTTTTAAGAAAATAACGACTAAACGAAACAAATTGGTTCAAATAAAAATTTCAAAAAGTTAAAAGAATTAATTTAGAATATCGTAAAAGAAAAAATAAAGAAAATGATGAAAAAACATAAACGAGGCAGGGCGGGGCGGCGCAGGGCAAAAATCTGAGAAAATACTAAATGGGGCAGGGTAGGGCGGGTCAAAATGTTAGCAGGCCAAGGCTTGCCCCGCCCCAATTGCCATCCCTACTTACACAGCAGCTTGCAGTAGCAGCTTACAAGTAACTTACAAGCAGCTTACACAACAGCTTGCAGTAGCAGTTTACACAACAACTTCCTTTCTTCTATAAATAGAGGAGATTTCAGTTCATTCTGTACATGAATTTGAAATCTCTCTCTCTACTTGTCTTCGGTTTCTTTATTTTAACGTCTTTATTTTATAACACGTTATCCGCACGAGACTCTGCTATTTTGAACACTTACTTCAAATTTAATTTCTATTTCAGTGTTTATCTCCGATGTATGGCGATACTCTACATCCGTGGTAGATCTTGTTCATTCCGAGCATCATAAGACAGATTATATCCTTGAGGTGGTGAGCTTTTCTTCTTGGCGGTAGAGATGTGGATATCACTTACGTCTGGAGTGGCCAAATTTGTGTGAAGTAATTTGAGCCTTTTGCTTATATTTAGTTTAATATCTTTATCATCGCTTGCTTGGTTATATGCTACGTATACAGTACCTATTTTGTTATTTATTTCCTTCATCCTAATTATCACAATAAAGGATTATAAAGTGGATAACATTGTTAGATCCACTTAAACTCCACTAGAGTTTGCAAGAAATATATAACCACCAGAAGTGGTTATGTTTTGTATATCTCATTGTAACTAAATTTTGTTAACCACCAGAAGTGGTATATGCCTATAACCACCAGAAGTGATAATTTAGGCTTTCTATGGTTACAATTGAAGATAAGCTACATAAATATTCTCTATAATAAATGCACGCCTCGATTTGCTCCTGAAGTAGTAAATATTTTTAAAGAGGTTGAAGCATTACAATTTGATGTGATTAATGTGCGTTCAGATAATTATATTTCGTTCCCTGAAGGATGAGAACTTTTGATAAATATTAATCCATTCCTTGAAGTGAATGTGATAATATTAATAAAGCTCATAAATATGAACGCGCTTTTGATATAAATATATTACAATTCACCTCCACAAGAGGTAATATGATTGATGGAATATATACTCAATATTTCGTATTTTAAATTTGCTCATTAAGAAGTAACACAATTGAAATTTTCTCTTGAAACAGGAAAATATTATGAAATTGTGTCTTTCTATGCTTAATTAAACAAAATAATAAGCTATTCAAAATTATTTTTGAAGCACATTTTTATTCCCTGGAGTGAATGAAGAAATACCACAATTCACCTCCTAAAGAGGTAGAATAACAAAGGATATAAATCTTGTTTTTGTGGCATAAAAATCATTGTCGCACGTACCCGTTGTACGTAAAATATCTTGGAAAATTTTATTAAATATCATTTCAAGGCAAAAGTATTCTTGTAGAATGCTTTCTACTACAACCACATTAACATATTATGATTAGTTATCGAGTTCCCCGAAATAACAACTTATGGATCTTTCCCTGAAGGATGTAATGACTATGTGGTTACCGCTTTGATATAAAATATTCAGATGTTAATGGCATTTCTCCCTGAAGGAGATATTTGTCACAAAGTTGGTGGCAAAAATACTGAAATTCTTAATTTCTTATATTTATAAATTTAGAATTGTCCTTATATTGTCAATTTGATTATGATTTTCTCTCATGATACTAGAAGTGTCTGAGCACTATTTGGTAGTATAAAAAATTTTAAAAGCTCCTGAAGAGCTAACTGTTTGTCTAAAAGACACATAATACACGTAGTGTTTGAGTAATATTTGATTGTGAAAAATAAATTGAAGGCTCCCGAAGAGCTTATATGCAAATTTGTCATTCATATTATATGATTGTGGTCAAAACATATGTTGTAGTAAACCCGAAGTTTACTAATACAAATGACAATCATACTGAGACTACAAATGATTGAAAAATTGAAATCTTCATGTTTCCACAATCATAGGGGGTAAATATGTATGTGAGAAGTTACCCCCTTATTCTTCAATTTGTATTATATCATGTAACACAGTAAATCAGAAGTTTACTAATACAAAAGCAGCTACAGTAAATCAAAAATTTACTTATACAAAAGTATCACAATAAACCAGAAGTTTACTAATGCAAAAGCAGCTACAGTAAATCAAAAATTTACTTATACAAAGGTAGCCATAGTAAATCAGAAGTTTACTAATGCAAAAATAGCTACAGTAAATCAAAAATTTACTTATACAAAGGTAGCCACAATAAATCAGAAGTTTACTAATGCAAAAACAGCTACAGTAAATCAAAAATTTACTTATACAAAATAGCCACAGTAAACCAGAAGTTTACTAATACAAAAGCAGCTACAGTAAATCAAAAATTTACTTATACAAAAGTATCACAATAAACCAGAAGTTTACTAATGCAAAAGCAGCTACAGTAAATCAAAAATTTACTTATACAAAGGTAGCCATAGTAAATCAGAAGTTTACTAATGCAAAAATAGCTACAGTAAATCAAAAATTTACTTATACAAAGGTAGCCACAATAAATCAGAAGTTTACTAATGCAAAAACAGCTACAGTAAATCAAAAATTTACTTATACAAAATAGCCACAGTAAACCAGAAGTTTACTAAAGATAGTGCATGCCATGATAAACTTGAAGTTTTCATTTACCATTTTTAAATGAGATATTTGAGAATTCAGATAAACATACACTGAAGAACTAAAAGATTCTTCAAGAATTCTCTTGTGTTGCTTGTTCTCATAATAAATTGATTATACCAGCTAAAGTTGGGGCTAAGACCCCTGATTCTGAAATATATAAAAGGTGAATATGGACTCATTCACCTGTCATGCGAACCACTTATAGATGCATATATAAGATGGTTACATATATATTTATTGTTAACATGCAGTTTGGCATTTGAGATTGCTTTTCTCAATTAAGAGCATAACTTTCAGATTATGAAATCAAGATAGTTCATCTTGNTATATAGGGAAAAAATCACGTGTTGACACTCATTTATCATCACCTCAATTTGTGTGCACAGTCTGAACGCATAGCCAGAAAGCTTAAATATGAAAATCGGTGAAAAATGGTAAGTTTTAATTATAAAATGAGTAAATTTGACTTCGGTCAACATTTTGGGTAAACGGACCCGGACCCGTGATCTAACGGTCCCGGAGGGTCCGTAGGAAAATATGGGACTTGGGCGTATGCCCGGAATCAAATTCTGAGGTCCCAAGCCTTAGAAATGAATTTTTAAGTGAAATTGTTTTTTGAAACTATTTAAGGAAATCTGATTAGAAAGCGATGGTATCGGGCCCGTATTTTGGTTCCGGTGCTCGGTACAAGTCTTATATATAGGTTAAGTCATTCCTGTAAAATTTGGTTAAATACGGACGTCGTTTGACGTGATTTGGACTTGAATTGCTAAATTTGATACTTGATGAAGTTTGAGAAAAATTCTTGATTTTGAGGTTTGATTCATTGTTTTTGAGGTTATTTGGTGATTGGATCACACGGATAAGTTCGTATGATGTTGTTGAGTTAGTACCTATGTTTGGTTAGGAGTCCCGAGGGCTCGGGTGTGTTTCGGATATGTTTCAACAGGTTTTGAACTTAAGAAAAATTGCAGAAAATGATGTTCAGGTGTTCTGGTATTTCCTTCTTCGCGTTCGCGGG